CTCTCTCTCTCTCTCTCTCTCTCTCTCTCTCTCTCTCTCTCTCTCTCTCTCTCTCTCTCTCTCTCTCTCTCTCTCTCTCTCTCTCTCTCTCTCTCTGGCTGATTCTCTTTTTTTAATTTGTTTGGGAATGAAATTGGCAAGGTCGTGGGTTAAGGTACTACTGCTGTCATGTAACTGCACAATGCTGAGTAACTCTGATATGTAGATTACACGTTGGTGGTGGCATAATCATTGAAATAGTTCAGTGGTTATGAGAGAGATACGTGTTATTTTCATAATGGCACTTTGCTCATCATCGATTTCCATCTTTTGCGTGATAATACTGCTCGCTGATCATTGGCTTTTATCGATTGCTTTATGCCATGTTGCTGCTAATCGATTCTTTGGCTCGCATGTACGAATAAAAGAAGTTGCATATCAAGAAAGCATCCATTTGGTGTCTTTTGCAGCACCTGCTGCTGAAATGGATGGTGATGAAGATGGCGAAATCCGGGAAAAGGTGGAGAAATACACGAAGATGTTAAGCTGTGATAACAAAGTCGGTGATAACTTCGTTGTTTCCTTATCATACGGCTTTTGCAAATTTAATTGCTCTTCGTAGGTACCCTGGTTTAATGCAATTTAGATTTATTGGTAGATCGGATAAACCATTCTGAAGTTTAGCTTCAATACAGAGTATGTTGTTATTGATTTGCTTCAGGATAAACAATGATGACAGGCATATTGCAGATTGGCCATGCTTTGAGACGCTTAGCAAACATTAATATGACACTGGAGCTGTTATCAGAGACAGGAGTGGGGAAAGCAGTGAATCAGTTGAGAAGTCACGAGCAGTATGGCACGAAGGCATTGCGAATCGTCGAAAAATGGAAAGATATGGCAAGGAGTTGTGGCTTGAAGCAGCGAAGGTTTTTTGATTTTTAAAAATGGGAGAGACTTGAGCAAAGAGGGGTGTTTAATGGAAAAGACTGGTAGATATGAGTTTTAGGAAACAGTTCCACTCACCAAGTTCAGAACGAGAAAGTCCCCAAAAAAAGTCGACGAAGAGCAATCGAGAACAAGAAAAAGGAAGCAAGGGTAAGCAAGAAACAGATGATAGTGCTGGTGAAGTTCATCGTAATAAAATTAAGGTAAGTTACATTTCATTAGTATGAGGGACTTTTCTTGCCCTTTTTTCCACATCACTTCAGTTGCAATTTTTCGCTCTTGGGTTGAAGTTTGCTTTATTTGGTCCGATATTCATGTTGAGTAAGCTTCAAGATTATAGCAAGTCTTATAATTTGAGTGGATAACTTTTTACTGAGCGATTAAAGTTAGTTATATAACTTTTATTTTTTGATCATTTATTTCTTAAATTGTTCTGTTTCAGCCATCAAGTAATGGACTGGAGAATTCTTCTTCGGGTTTAAGCTTTGCAGATATGTTGGCCCGAGCCGATACTGCCAAACCATCAAAACTCAAAAAAATGAAAACTAATTGTAATGATTGGAAATCATCGAAAGTGGATGTGAATTACAGACCTTCCAAAGTATTGAATTTTGAACCCGTACTGAAAGAACATCGTCCCGGTATGATTTTCAGTGGCTTTAGTTGGATAACGATTGCACCTCTAATGATATTGGAATCCATTGCAAATTGTATTAGTATGTTTCACCTCGGTTCTATAGGTGAGAATAGAATAAAAGAATGTGCAACATTAGTTTCAGCACTTTCGACAGCTGTTTGTTTAAGAATTACGTAGTACCAAATGTAAGTTGAGACGTCTTTCGTGATTTTTTTTTTGCATCTTGTGACAAAAGTAAAATAAGTGGGAATTCACTGTCTTATTGTGGGTTCCAAATAAAAGTAGTTTTTGTTTATTTCTTTGGTAATAGTTAGCTTTTTAGTTTATGCTATTTTGATGTGATTTATTTTCAGTTGTTCTCGAAATGCTAAAACACCTCTTTCAGACGTATCCAAAACATCTGTGGTAGATGCGTTTATGTTTAAACCACGTAAATCGCTGCGTAAAATCTATGCGGGTCGTCCGAGAAATGATGCTACCAAGGAAGTACCGACGTTACAGAATTTATGTATTAAGATATTAACTGCCAACATTAATTGTGAGTTTTCTTTTCTCGTTATTCAAAATCATGTGAAAGGTTTATGGCGTTACTCGCCTAGTATGAATTGTATTTCCATATTTCCAGTGGACTGAGTAACTTTTTTCAAAATCAGTGTTTCCTTTGTTTTTGTCTTTTTTTTTTTTTTTTTCAAGAAACTGAAATACTAGCCATGGAAATGTGCACTTGTGCCTGAAACTTTCAAATATCTTAAATTTACGGAATTTTTCATTTTTGTGATGTTGTTCCAGCAGCTCTTTTTACAAATACATTTGTTGTAAGTAAATTTGTCACTTTTTTTCAATATTTATGTTTTTTTCTACATTAAAGAGTTATTATAATTTTACTAGTTGACGTACTGGTAAATTGTATTAAACAGTTGATATAAATTATGAATTCTGTTTTCGCTTTGCATTAACGATCATTCGACAATCATTTTTTCAGCAATTGAGGAAGTTGGTGACACGCCATACTTTTTGCTGAAACCAGTGCTTGAGAAATGCTCTTTAAATCAATTATGTTTGATTGAAAGGCGGAATCCGGTAAGTTAATGCACTAGATTGCAATAGAGTATAACTTTTAGCTGTAGCGTGCATGAAAAACAGTATTCGTTTTTTTAGTTGATGCAGTTTATTTTGAAATAAAATAGTTCAAAAATTCCTACAGCAATTAATGGAAGATAGTGATGAGTTATGGGAGCGAATTGTAAATCGTACCTTTCCAAAATATGAAACAGCGGATGATGAAACATGGCGAGAATGCTATTACGTTAGTTTTTATTTCATTTAATTGTTTATAATAAATGCCCGAAAGGATTAGTCTAATGAAAGACATAATTTTACAGTACGTGAGAGCTTCCAGTTGGAATACAGAGGTATCCGTTAACTAATTGATTCATATATTTCAATCTTCTAGAACTATGAAACGGTTCATGCAGCGGAGAAACCTTACAAACACCTTTGTCGGCTGAATAAATGACATACTATAATATAGGAATTTTCCAAGCATTGGTTGATGGAGGGAAGACTGGAGAAGGATAAGTTACTGCCTGCTATTGAAAAATGATTGCATTGTAGCGTTTGTGTGAAGAAAATGAGCGTAAGCTGAAGTTACTTTCAACAAAAATAACTCAGCATAACCGAGAAGCAACTGCACCAGTGAAAACAGCTTTGCTTGCGGATGCAAAAGCTCCACGTGAAGTTCGTCGTCGACAAATGCGTTACGGGACTCAGCATGCTGCTCATCCGTTACCATCTGCTAATGAAATTTCAAAAGCACGCAAGGAAATATTTGATAAAGGTTATTCTCTGTCCGTTATTCTCTTTTATAATTATCCGTTTTATAGATATAGGCCAATATGCTGATTTGCTTTCTTTTCTCTTCAAGGACAGGTTTTTTGAAAATTGTTTTTCACTTCGCTCGGTTTCAAACAATCTAGGAAGGGAAGATATTTTGAATATGGTATTCCAGACTTAACAATTTATTATAATTGTGTATTATAATGTGTTTGTCTTGAAATAGATTACATTTTTATTACCATGAAAGTTATTTGTCCGATGTTTGTATTTTTTTTTTCACCGATTCTGCCTAAAGCTATCATGATTGCAGAAATCGATTTGAATACTCTATTTCTTAGGATTTTTGACTACTTCCTTGTCTTGGTTTATATTTCAGAAATATGAATTTTCAGTATTGCAATTAAATGATAACATCACCTCATTCGTGTAGTTGAAAACGCAACTGATAACTTATTCATTAATTAGATTGATACAATTGTGATGTCCTTTCATTTAATATATTGTAGGAAACAAGGAAGCCTTGGCGAATCTACCCCAAGCAATCAGAAATACCAGTTCTTCGTTAGGCTTGCATTCAGAAAAGAAGAAAATGGTACCGAAAAAAGGAGCGTTGATGATAAAAACGCTGAGAATGCTCAATGTAAAACGTAGAAAATAGTTATTTTCAGGTTGGGAATGATAAACAAAAGTTTGTTGCAGACTGGAATGGGGAATATACGGTTCGGAGCACAGGCTAAATAATCTCTTAAAGTGAAATTTTAGATATAATTAAACTCAAAACTTCGAAACCGCCAAATTATTGGACTTCTTTCATCATAAAGGAATTTATTTCTTTAACTCAGTTAGTGAATAATTCACAGCTTATCACTGCAAAACAATGAGAAAGTCGGTGTCACTGTAATCCATTATTGGTTCCGTGAAACTCTGTATATACTTCAAACGGTGACCCACCTTAAATAATATCTTGATTGTTTGAAATAATTATTACGTAAGAGCTGTAGTATCCATAACATTGATGTCACTGAGGGGAGGAATCTCGACTTTGGTATTTAGCGACCATAAAGAGACGAATTTTTGAAGATCTTGGTTTTTGGTTTCCTGATACCAGTTTTCTCTTGAATCAGTTTTTTCTCCTTCAAGTTGCTCTTATCAAGCAGTATAATAGCTTCAGTGTTACTGTGTCTTTTTTTTTTGTCTTTTTCTTTTTGTTTTCTTTTTGTTTTTGATCATTATTTCCACAGCTGCGGTTCATTATTTTCATTTTCTTTTATTTTTTAGTAAGTACAACTTTATAATATAGGTTGCTTCATAAAGTTTCCATTTCCAGATACCCTTATTTTTCTTTCAACCGTATTATCGGCATTACATTTTTGTCTTTTCTTTGATTATTAAATATTCGGGTTACTTATTCTTTCTGTTGTTCTTTCTTGAGCGGTTGTTGTCTTTTATAGTTTACTGTCAGATTGAATTTTGCTGGCAAAAAAATTAACTGAATATATATTACCTGTAAGTACCTAATTCCTTCCACATCTACAGTATTAATAATAGCGAATAGTATTGGGATGTTATCGACGCTAATGGGTTTTCTCCCATTTCAGTATATGGTTTAAAGTCTGTTGCTGTTGTGTGCTCTAGTAGGTCGCTTTTCTCTTTGTTCATTTTTCATTTTCCTAAATCGCTTCATTTTTTCGACCATGAAAATTTTTTGCTCTGCACATTTGTATTGTATATATTTATTATGTAAGTCTTTATAAAGGATAATTATTAGTTATTTACAATTGATTTCAAGGAAATATTTGATGGTATTGTTTGTTTAGTATGAATAAATATATTCTATCGCTTTTACTTGGTGAATTGTAAATCCTGGGTTTCCATTTTGAATACTCCAGTTGATTACCTATAAACCATTCGACCGTCATCTATACCTGTATTAGATATGCCTCTTTATCGTTGTTGGGCGGCGTTGTAGTCGGATATTAGTGGCTTTACATAATTTGATCGTTGCTGACTGCTCAATGTTTCAGGCGCAGTTATTTGTCAGAAGTTTTGCGTGTATGGGAAGGTCGGAACATGATTGAATTTTGAGGAGTTGTAAATTTGTGGCATTAATTTGTAGTAGTTTTGGGCGATTATATCTTTTTTTCTTGGTAAATTGTTGTAGTCCGTAAGCGGTGATTTTTGACCTTAAGAGTCGTTGGTAAAATTCTAGCGGCAGTGGGGTGCTGCACTTTTTCATAAATAGCTTAGAGTGATGCTGAGAAGTTCTCTATTTACAAGGGGTAACAACCAGCTTCATTAACTGATTATGTAAAAATGATAAACGATTGCTTCTGTTCCATTGCTTTACTTTTTTCTTTTTAGTAAAATTGGGACCTAATTAACGTCTGTAAGTTTTTATCGATTTCAATATAGTGACCACAGGTCTAAAATTTTCAGGGATTTGATTTGTAAAAAGAGCATATTGTTTACGCGCTGATCTACAGCAGTTAACTTTATCAATTTCACCCATTTTATCGCTATTCCTTTGCATCGTTCGCGACCTACAAGTTATTTTTTCAAATTTCCAAATCTCACCCAATTGACAGTTAATCTTTTCCGGAATTACTCGCCTAATTTTTTCATTTTCATATATCATCCATATCAGACTTTCCTTCAGACATGAACGGTTATTATCGAAATGGACCACGTTTTGATCGTATCGATCAAGATGAAGTTCCCGAAAGCAAGCACACCGTATTTATTAGAGGCCTTCCTGGACATATTAAAACAGATGAAGTGAAGTAAGCCTACCTATATTTTTTACCTATAACTGAAAATTGAAAAATATCAAATTACTTATTGGAAATTTTACCAAAGTGATATAAGGAGAAGTAGGGAACAAAAACCATACTCTACTTTTCATGAAGAAGGAGTAAAGTATGATCAGGAACAGTGGCTAAAAAAGGCACGAGGCATATTTCCCTCCTAGTGTCTTACTGTCTAAACCAGTTACACATTCACCAGTGCACTTTGTATTAAAAGAAAAAACTTTGAATTTCTTGGTTCTTCATTTACTTCCGAACCCTCTGCTGGTGCTTTGTGCTGTTATCTCGAAGTGCAGCTTTACGGTAAAAAAAAGGTAATCATTGGCTCAAAATGTTGATGTTATTACAGGCGAGATTTAAATTTTGTGTTATCTTGAAATACTTGTACGTGTTACTTCCACTCTTCTTTTTGGAACGATAAGGCGGAAATCTTGTGGTTTATTTGAATGAATTATTGTCATACATACAGCAACATTTTCACCGAATCTTACTCTCTTGGCTGAATTTTGTTTGTGGAGAAATATACCTTGTGCTGGCGCAGTTACCATGTGCTTACCTTTGAGTAGGGAATTTGCAAAAATACCAGTTTATTCTCTTGGTTATTACTCTTGTTACATTGTCGATTTGGACTAAGGTAAGTAAAACGAATTGAAGCAAGGATTTTTTGTCTTGCCAAAATTTTTGAAATTTCTTGATATTTCACTTTTTATTGGCTTAAATACCAGTCCTGCTGCAACTGTCTCTCTATCCCTATTATTTTCAGGGATTTTTTCGAAGACCATGTGGGGCCATGCTCATTCGATTTTATCAAGCTTTCACAGGATCAATTGAAACTGTTTGTAGCAGTGCGTTTCGAAACGCGCGATGCTGCAAAGGAATGCATGCACAAGTATGTTTTGACTTTTCTTTTTACATGGTGATAATTTATCAGAACTTTGATTCTCATTTACCTTTCAAAAAACTGGAGTTTTTGAGAGAACTTTTATGTTTTCTCTTTGAACTTGATTTCAGGTATAAAGATGGTGACGTTCTTGGTTACCCGGTTGAAATGACATGGTTTCGGGATATTCGACGCTATGTGTCGTATCAACAAAGTCAAGGTGTTAAATTTTTGCTTATCATGATAACAGTGTTAGGTGAATTGTTACTTAGAAGCATTCATCAAGGTTTTTTCTCTACCTGAATCGTACAAATAATTGTAGCAAATGTTATTTCCTTTAAAAAAACATTTTTTTAGGTCTTCGACCTGCTAAAGTTCCTCGTAATCGTGGTTATGGTGGTCGCAATCGGACTAGCTATGACCATTCGTCAAGAAATGATTACAGGTATAAAGATTTCACATTATAAACGTGAACAAATGCCATTACTTTCACCATTTTTGGTTTATCATTTTCAAGTCTTGTGATTTCCAAAATATTAACTGAACTGTACACAAAATTAGAATATAAAAGTGAACTAAACTTTTTATATCAGTATCACGACTATTCAGTGGTCGTTTTTCTTCGCTTGTGATGGTTTTTCTTTTTTTTTATGTCTTTCTTCTTTTTTTATTTGTTACTGGCTTTATCTACAAAATTTCTGCAAGTAGTTTGGTTTGGTTGTCAGTCCTTTTTGCCGAAGTGGTGAATTTTGTGCAGAATTCCAGAGATAATATTGGAGAATATATGTTTTAGAGATGATGATTATGATAAGGGAAGCAAAAGAAAGTGCGCATCGTCAGATGATGAAGGCTCTAAAAAATCTCGCTCATCCAACAGGTCTTCATTACATATTTTTTTGGACACGGATCAGAGGGTAGTATATTATTCTTGTTCATTAGCAATTATAGATTAAGACAAACAGGAAGTGCTGTTTGTAAATCTCTCAGAAACTAGAATCAAAGTTGAATTATTTTCAGTTCATCACGATCGCCAAGTCGTAGTCAGCGTCACTCGTCACATGAACGTTCAGCGAGTCCCGGTAGTCTCAAAAGTCGGCGTAGTGAAAAATCTCACCGTTCTCAATCTCGTGCATCTTCGTATTCGGCACCGGCTCATGAACGTTCTTCCTCACGAGCTCCACCAGCTCCATCTCCACAAATTAAGCGAGAGGTCAGAGTTTATCTTATTTGTCTTTAAACCTTCTAAATTGCTAAAGGCTTATATTTCGGAATTGGCATTAAACCGTTGATTTTAAATATTATGTTACTCGAGCCAACATTTTTCAGCAAAAAACATTTAAAAAAACATTATTTTTTCTGTCTATTCAGTGTTGTAGAATTAAAGATTTAATATTTCAAGTTACTTCGTTTTCTCAGCTAGTTGATTTTTCTATTAGTTAGATCTACATCAGAAATTTTTAGGCTATTGAAAAAGGTGAAACTCCACCACTTCCACCACTACCTCCTCCTCCAAACGCAAAATCTGATGACGTGGAGCCAAAAAAATCGAGCCCGGTTGGTTTTTCTTAGCAACTCACTTGTTTTTTGAGTATTTCAGTGATGTTTGACATAGAATAATATAGATTAAAATAATTGAGTTAACCATGGCATCTCGTACTAAAGTAACCATAGTGTTCCTTTCATTCTAAAATTCAATCAAAACGTTATGCTATATCTAAAATTACTGTTTTGTAAAATAGTATAAGTACTTTTGGAAATATTCCCTCGGCAGATACTTCGGATATTTCAATTAGATAGATGAAAAATCCAAAAAAAAGACTATGTTTCTGGAAAATGGTTTTCGTGGAATCATTAAAATCTCTTCAATTTAAAATCGTATTTGCTGCTGAGCTGTCCAGCGTGAAACGCGACAACGTGGAAGACATAAATGGTTAAATCTAATTGCTAAGACTAGTTTCTTTTTTTTTTTTGAGAACTCTAGGAAAAAGAAAACTGTAACTTTTTACGAGGGTTCAGAGTGGTTCGCAATCTCCCGCTGAACGTAAATCACGAAAATCGAAAAAAGGCAAGAGGAAACGTCGGCGTCGTAGTCCATCATCTAGTACACCCAATTCAATTAATGAACACACTTCCGATGAACTTAGTGAGGGCGAACTTCGAAAAAAGATCCTAAAAAAACGAAAAGAAGTTTTGAAAGATATCGAAGAGGGTTAGTTTATTTTGAAAACACTCGGTCTTTTGTTACCGGATATCAATCAAGTCATATTCGTAAACAAGAAGATTCAAGTATACTTAAATAGCGTCAGTAACTTTTAGAATTCGGCGCTTTACGTGTAGTTTTGTTGTAAAATTGTCTTTAAGGTTTGAAGCCCGTGGTAAAACCAACTTTGGGAAAATGGGAAGAGCAGGAAGCGGAAACAACACTTCTACAGAATACCACATTAAAGTTCGGTTTAGAAAGCACGGTAAATATTGTACCTTAATTCGCCTTGAAAACCTCTCTATGTATATGTATAGTTTGTGTTCAGTACTTCTTTCAAATGAGTCGCACTTTTCACCTTTGTGGTACTGTTACTTGAAAAGTGAATAGTTTCTGGAGTCCATTTTTTGGCACTTTTTTTCTGATTTTTCTATGTGTAATTATATTTTTATTTTATAGGAGGATGTGCCAAAACGAGTTCTGCGTGATACAGCCCATCAATTTCAATCCTCAAAAAATGTAGTTTTGCAAACAAATGTAAGCAAACTTGACGGGATTGGGATGGTAAATTATCCTTTTTATTTTGTCCGTTTAATATCTTCTTTGCCTTTAAAAGCTTTTACAAACACGCATTGGTATGCAATATATGCATTTTGCATATGTTATGTTGCTAGATTCTAGGTGTAGCTTATAAAGTGCATATTTTTTATGTTTTGAATATTGCAGTTTTATGGATTTTATCATCAAAAATGATTTTGGGTCGTTCCACTAAATATTAGGAGTATTTTCATTTTTTTTTCTGATTTTGCATGGAATGTTTCAGCATGCTGCAGTGCCGCAAACAGCAGGAATTGAAAATTCGTTTTCTTGCAAGAAAGGGACCAAAGAATTAGGTATACTTTCTTATCTGATATGTGTGTTGTATGCATTTAGTTTTAGTATATTTCTTCGGAAATATTCCTACCTGTAGATTTAAAGTCTTAATGTGGTCATCGTAGGGATTTTGAAAGGGACGTCTTTTGCAGGCGAAGCACCGTCGTCGGCTGCACTATTCGGCAGTGATATTGATGCTTTTCTGGGAAAGCGTGAGCAGGCCGGTCTAATAAATGATCTCAAAAACACACAGGTTCGTTTGACGTCTCTACTGTTTTCTTTTTTGATAAAGTTTGTTGGTGATGTTATGAATAAGCATGCATTTTCGTATGACTACATTTACTGAGATAAAGAATAACAGGAGCGAAAAATGAGTGCGCAGTACGTTTTGTACACTTATATAATCATTGCTAGATTGGACTTACCGTTCTTTAAACTCAATAGCACTAAATTTCTTGTGCCGTCAGCGCTACCACCGTTGCACACCATTGGAAAATGTGCAAAAAAATTCCATGTTTGAAATTGCAGTATATGACAGGATATCTGATGAGCTGTCTTTGAAAAAATGGATTTGTATAAGAGCTTATGCGTTGATGTCAAAAATAGGTCATTTGTATGGTCAAAACAGGTCATCCTTATGCGTTGGTGTCAAAAACGGGTCATTTGCAGCACAAAAAAAAGGACCAAAGTGTTGTAGAGGCTACATCACGTTAATTGGTGCTAGTATGTGTATTCTATAGTGAAGAAAGTTAATGGAACATCAGGTGTTAGGCCACGTGCTAGAATACAGTTTACTTCTATTCATTTTTTGTCGAGTTAACTTAAATATTTTCTAGCTCTTAGGGAAATGTGAGCAGTAATTGATTTTGTGGAAAAATGGATTGTTTGACCAGTCTTGAAGGCGGTATTAATGTGATGTGGAGTGTTCTCTTGTCATTCGAATTCTTATGCTATCATGCCCAGAATATTACCTTATAGCGTAAATTATAGAAAACCTTTGAACGTGAACGTTAATGGTTCAATTTTTAATACATCATGAGATAACGTGCCTCTAATCATAAACAATCTCTGAACTGAGGGGATTTTAGCTTTTTTTTTGTTTTTGGTAATTTTACTTGTTGCCAAAAAAACGCTTGCTACATTTGGCAGCAAGCAAAACATTAGGCTTTAGCGGAAGTCGCATAACAAAACGAAAATAATGTGGTCGTTGAGTATATCTTGGGCCAATGTGCAGATGAACGGCCTCAGTTTAAAAGTCGGCAGTTGTAGAATTGGAATGCTTGTTCTCCAGTAAGAGATTTTGTAATACTGTCGGTGTTTTGGGAGGTATAAATCGATATCTTCTGTAGTGCATCTTTTAAAAAGAAACGGTGCAGAAAATTTACTGGAAGCTTCTGTAGAAAATTTATTCGAAGCACTGTCCAGAAAATCTATTGCAAGTGCAGGTGATCCTGGTGATTGGAATGTTTTATGTTTTTGTATTTTTCCAGACGAATGTATTCGGCACAGCTCGTGGTCAACAACTGATTTCATTTTTTGATGATGCCAGTGATACGTTACAACCCTCGCAAGGAAGTGAGTATTAACGGAATCTATTTCAGATAGCTTATAAAAAAGGAAAAATTTTAATACACTTTGAAATGATTTTGCTCAAACTACTGAAAGAGCTAATCTGAAATAGATTTTTTTTACTTTACAATATGAGATTTATACCAGATTTGATAATGAAAATAGCATGTGCCGGCTTTTCAAGGTAACCCTCCTCCTTCATTCTCCCTCTTCCCCTCCCCTCTCCTCTATCAAACGATTCTGTTTATATTCAGTTAATGACTAAGTATCTTTAGTTTCGATGACGTATTTTCAGTCACGAAATGCTAAGTGGATTCACTATGTCGAGAAGTCCATCTTATTTGCGTAGTTATCGGGACTTTAATTTCACCTTCATTAATGACTATCCATCGTCATCTTGGAATCACTGGAGGCATAGTAAATTGTAGCACTCTTTCAGTACTATTTTAGAAGTTAAGCTGTCTTCCTGTGTAGTCATTATCATCACGAAATTTATCATATTGCAAAATTGCAACACGCATAACTTTTTATGAATTCATATTTTAAAAAGTTTTAACATTTCGGTGTGGTCCGTTACGACCTAACTTAGACTCTCCATCTTGATGCATTATGATATGAAAATTATGAAGGAATGAAGTGCTTATTTGATACATGCCCATACATATAAAAGAAGCTGTCAGTGATAATTTGTAAAGCGTTTTTCCTTTTAAGCGCTGCGATTAAGCTCGCTCACTCGTCAGCTGAATGCAGAAACAGAACGTGAACGAAAGCTTGCTCGTTTACCACCGGAAGTGCTTACGAAGTACACGACAAAGAAAAAACAACTCGAAGGGGTTATCTTTTTCTCAACATTTTCCGCTTGGTGAAGTTTATTAGTTGAAGATTGGATAAGTACATTTAGATACAGTTCTAATTCTTTGTTTAGAAACTTCAGTTTCTCTGCACTTTATCGGAAAGAGTTTTTATTAGTGGTTTTTATACAACTGTTAAAAGTGTTTATTCGAAATTGATTTTATAGTTGTGGCAGCTTAATACTTACAGGCATTTAAAGCAGATCGTGAAACGTTTGGTTTTGTTACAAAGATATTGATCGAAAAAGATCCAGGTCTGGAAGATCGTCTCTGGTTGGCGCTTGCTGAAGCAGTGAAAGATATGGAAGAAGCGTTCACCAGAAAAATGGATCAGTATCTTGATCATTTAATTATGTTCATTTCTATGTGATTGCAGATAGTTTTGAACATAGATTAATTATTGAGTGGTAGGAAGAGCTCTTGTTTCATATGCTTCGAATGAAATTTCTGACGGATTTTGCTAATGGTTCATCTTTTCAATGAGTTCTAGTATAGTGGTACCTATTATTCAGACAAACCTTTTCATCCTTGTATTTCTTATTTCAGCAATCTTAAAACTTTTTTTCCATTTTTATCTAGTTTCCATCATTATTCTGCATTTGTAGTTTCTGAATGTTGTTGGATGTCTCCGGATTTGTTCCCATCTCCAAATTCTTCATTTACTCAGAAAAGTGTGATTTTTTGACAACAATAAATTATAAGAAGAGTTATCAGTATAATACTATCCTACCTTTTTTGACTTTTCTCTTCAAAACAATAAATTAATCAAAAGTTCCCTTGTTTGGTCGTTAGTAGTGTCGGTGTTGTTACTTGCCTGTATCGCATGAATTTCTTTTACAAAACGCTTGGCAACACTTCCATTCTAGTCATTTTCATTTGTTATAAAGTACTTCTAATGACGAAGGATTTTTTGTCAGCTTTATTCGAATGAAATGCTCGTGGCAACGTTTTGGACTGATCCACTTCTGGTTTCATGGTTTATATTAGTTTTGCCCGTTCATCGATGGATTTATCGTTACAAAAATTATGTGTTTGAAGTTATGCAGGTGAGGATTTTAAAATCTCGAAAACTTGTTATAGTGGTTTTCCGCACGGCAACTTTTAGCGGATTCGGGATTTTGTGAATACGGAAAACGGATGTGCAACAGTTTCGATGAAGTTGTTTACTCTGGAAAACGGGAGGAAGGTAATTTTTTTTCAAATCTATCAGAATCGAAATATTTCCGTTTGTTTTTAGATGTTTGCTAGTGTAAATAGGGGTAGAGTAAATTTCTGGTTTCGAGGTGCTGCAGAAATTCCCAGTAATCTAGAAAGCATTACTGCAATATGGAATGGGGAATGCGAAATGATTCATGGGCGTAACAAATCACTAAATGGCACTGAATTTGGAACGTTTTTTTAGACCGTTTATAATGCGTTTGACTGAAATGATGCGATACATTTATAGATGTCATGATCTATTACCCTCTGTCATCAGCAAAGAGATGCTATTAAAAATCAAACGGGATTTTTGCTGCTTATAATTTCACATTAAATTTGCAGAAAGGTTGGAGCATCTGTTTGATAAATACTGCTTATTGTTTATGAAACGACTTCAACAGCAGAGAATCGGTGTTTTGGTTTGTTTTAAGTTGTTTTTTATTTGTAAAAGTTTGTTGTGGTGTACGGGAAGTGTTTCGTAAAAAAAAGTAATTGCTAAGCTGAAAAAGAAGCATTGATAACGACTTCTACTGAAATGCTAGTTACATACTTCAGTTAGCTCAATTATAAGCATTGAATTTGAGACGTTTGTTTAGACCGTTGGTGATTTATTTGCGATTGCAATCAAATATGGTTTCAAGGAGACCGGCTTTCAACGTTTCAAAGAAAGTGCTGCTCGTTGGATGTGTAGAAGGCTAGAGGTTGTAATGCGCAACAAAGGATTGTATGGGCTACCCCGTAACTTCAGCCGTGCAAATATGTGAGGTTATTAGTGGATTAATGTTATAGCGCCACTGATTTCGGAATTTCGAATTAAAGCAATGCATTTTTATCCAATGTTAGAAATAATTTCACTATGCCAAGTTTTTTTTTTTTTCAGTAAACGAAGTTCTGAAGTCAATAGTACTATAACATTTTTCAGTTTAAATTGTTGTTTATTAAAAATATACTGCCTTATTAAAAAGAACTGATGTGAAATCTGATTTGAATATGTTTTAGCAGTGGGAGAAAAGCGTGGAGCGACCATTAATAGTCTTGCTGTGCTGTATAGCATGATAGATTACTGATACAGCAGAGAGAAAGGGAATGGTTTGATGACTGGATTTTGAGTTAGAGACATATGCACAGTGTTTCTTACCATGCAGTTGTTTCTATATGTAGTCATACCTGAAATCTTTCTAATGATTTTAGAATGAAGAAAACCCATTGAAATATTTGGAAGAATCAACAACCCTAGGTTAAACTAGTGGTTTTTTTCAAACGTCCTTGTATAAACTTATTCGTAGCCTACATTTTTCTTTGTATGCACGTCGTCAATTCATATTCTTTGGGTTTAAAAATCAACTGATTCTCGAAGCGATCGTCTCACTAGATATTTCAGAAATGTTTTTATTTTTAGGTTCGTAGAAATAGATGATCTGGAATGTTCTCTTGATTTTTCGATGTGGTTAGAAGAATTTATGACTCCTTTTTTTCGGTTGGTTCAATGTTTCACTTATCGCATTACTCATTGCTGAAAACTGGATACATGGAATATACTCTTTCATTTTACTTTTACCTTTGTGCCCTGATACAATTTTCGGTTTCATGAAGTAGTTCGATTGCCGAAAAACTTGGTGAATTTTTGTGAATACAACATCTTTAATATTTATAGTTGACAGTGTTACTTATCGTTAATTTATTTATAGTAGTAGCTAACATCCCAATTTTTCACTTAACGTTTCCATATTCTTTCATGTGCAGTGATTAAGCTTTTAGCAGGAAATTCATCACTAAAAAATGAACTTATATAGGTCAGGCAGTTCTAATCTCAATTTGAAAACAAAAAGTTTTGACATTTAATTTTTAAAAACGATATTCTGGGGAAATTGAATATCGTTGATTGCTTAATAAGTGTAAAAGACGAATGGATGTATGAACTAGTTCTGATTGGCTGAATTACCTGATGAGGCCATGTGTTCTGTTCTACTTTCATTTTACTCTAAACCATTTTACCACTTTTGTTTGCAAAAACAAAGTGGACGAGGTGATATCCATTTATTTCATATTACCGTTCTTCGTTATTTTTTTTTCCATTGAATGCTTCTTCATACAGAGAAAAAGATGGTGTTTATCGCGAAGTGCGGCAGCATGATTTCAAACAACGAATTATACTAATTCGAGAAGCAGTATTAAATCAAGACTGGTCGAAAGTTGGCGCTTTTTTAGGTAATTATATTAATCGTCACAATATCTGTAACTGTTTCGAAGGTTTTATACTTCGAAATTAAATACTTCTTTGAATGTTATTTGAAAAAAAAAGAATCATCATTCAATTTCTTGTTCAGTTGCAACTCTTCGGACTTAGAGAGAGCTAGTTGTGAAATTTTTTAATGAGTGAAGTCTTTCAGTCACTATGCTTACTAAGTTTCATTTCTTGCTGTTAGTAGTATTATGACCTGTTCAAAGGAACTTTGTAACGACTAGCTAGATTTTATGATGCTCATGACTCTCAGCTCGGTGCCTAACTTTCCAGGTCACTTGCCTTCTTTGCGACAAAACTTGAGGGATGTTCCTGAAACGTTCCGTAAACAGCTGAGTAGTAATTTGGATAAAACATGTCGAATGTTGTTTCCATATGCTTCGACTATATTTCGAGCCGGTGTTGAGCGCTTTATGCAGCATGATATTCCACATGATATGATAATTAAATCAGCTGCAGAATTAATGCTTGCCTTGATTGCTGCTGAACGAAAGTACTCTGTGAGCTCTTTTTTAATATCAAAGTTTCCTCAAATATAGATATATTTACGGATGAATCTATATTTCTGCGATATGTTTCCGTAGTCAGGAAAAATGATGAAGATTAGAGCAGACAGCAAACAGACATTCAATTTACCACAGTATTTAATTTGAGGCAGTAACGCAGCCATGTTAATTAATTTCAGAATTTAACATTTGATGTTGAGAATAATTCATTATTTTACATCACGGAGTTGCTTATATATGCGGTCGCAAATGGCCAGAAGCAGGAAATGCAAGATTTGGTCACTACAGTTTCATCCTTACCATCCGTTGCTCAGAAACATAAGGTTTCATTTCGTTTATATTTTTATGCACTTAATTAAGTTTTCTACTGTAGGAGTTTGTTGAAACAATAGTCTGGCTTATCAGCATATTGGCTGGTTTTATCATATAACAAATCTACAGCAATCTCATTTATAATAATCTGTCCAAATTTTAGTATATTACCATCCTTCGAGCTTACAAGGTATTGTCTCGTTATGAACAGTGGCGCATGGGAGGAGAAAATGGTGTAGTACGAAGTAGTCCATTTGATTTAGGGGATGAAATCATTGCAGTTCTACTGGTAAAACTTATCAATTTTATTTCAAACTGTTTTCAGTTGAGATCAACAAGTAAAGCGCTATAATAAATGAATTCGTAAAATGTAGAAGTTTTATAATTGAGTCGGTAGCTAATTAAAAGGTAATAATGTTATACTGCAACTTTATGAGCTTATTTATTTATTATTGTAACACTCAAGAATCGTATTGAAATAACTTCCGTTTCATTAAAGAAGTATAAACTGAATTTAGGCATGACTAAGCTTTATATAATATGCATACCAGTGTGTATTGCTACCTTAACTCTCCATATAGAATTCCTTAAACCAGTAGGCAAAATCCATAAATTGGATTTCTAGTCAAGATGTCACTGACAGAAATCTTGTCACTGTGCATATTGATTTGATGAGAATATAAAGTTAAAAGTATGTTAATAAAACAACGGATATATAAGATACAGTGCTGCATAAATTATGTCTAAATTTTGTCGATTCGTTTTTTGTCAATGCTTAATAACTTGGAATATCAGGTGAAGAATTACACATAATTTCTATCATTTTTTCTCTTATCATCTCCTGAAGATCGTCTGTGTTTATGGAGCTCGTTATCATTTTAGGGTGTCGAATCTGGTCAGGAGAGTGTTTTTATCTATATAGCAGTGCATTATTTGCGTTATGTTGGAAAAGCTGATGTATTAATGGATGCTTTAGAGGAATGCTGTCATAAAACGCCCTGCATGATTGTTGATTGTTATTGTGCTTTGCTGTTAAATAAAATGGCTGATAAAGCTTGTTCGTTCCTTGATGTTGTAAGCTTTGATTTCTTCTGCGTTTACTATACTTCTACTAACTTTGATCTCATATCAATTAAAACATATTTCGTTTTAGTTTGACTTTATAAGCTTTTATATAAATTCAAAAAATGAACTGCTCTACGTCTGAAAGAAGCAGGAAAACTTCATTGCATCAAATCCTTATAACATAAAATGTTGAATAATATTGTCGCTTCAGGTTTTGCCGCAATGCGGCCTTGTTTCGCATCCGATTTTACTGGATTGGTTAAAACCGCGACTTTTGAATCCTCACGATTATGATCTTCCGGGAGAAATGTTACACCATATTTGCAAACTTTTGTTCGTTTTTTTGGATTATGGAACGAATAGGTTTGTGGAGTTTACATCATTAATTTAGCATATGTGCATTAGCTGTTTTGTGGCGCTATTCTTTCATCAGACCAAGAAGACTGATTTTATTTAAATTCATCGCTAAATTGCAAAATTGCATACCACGAGTTTTTGTTAAGAAGCGCTTTGTTAATATCTTGTCACAAATGGATCTCTAAATTTTTTTTCTCTTAGTTTTGAACAGTGCGGGAAAATTCATCAATATAATTGTGCAGGAGGAATGATTGTGCTTGGATATTTCTGTGGGCAGCGGTGCAGCATGTGCAAAATGATAATCTACTGCGCTTGCAATGGGATCCACGGAAATCATGGTGGCCAAAATTTCATTGTGCTGAACTATCTGAAGGAGGAGCCGATTGCAGGCATCGAGTTTTCATGAAACTTTACAATTTAAGTGTGTTGTAAGACACATATTTTTTCCTGATATATGTGGTCCTAAGGTGCAATGATTAATCTATATGAAAAATCTTTTTCAACTTCGATTAGTGATAAATGATATAAGTAAATAATATATGTAGCATCCTTTTCTTGACTGTTTTTCTTCCTGGGATATGTGTCATCTAGGAAAAGGTTTTACAACTGCTCAAGAACTACAAAGATTGTAGAGATTTCTCTTACCAGAATCGAAGAGCTCTACCAACAGTTACGAGGACTTCTACTCAGTCGTTTCATCATTTTGATAAAAAATAAGAAAACTGAAGATTGAAATCTGCTTCTTTAACTTGTAGGGTCATTAAACCAAATGCTGCTCTTTTCCCATAATGCTGATGAAAGCGTGAACATTGTCCTATCAAAAGTCATACAAGAATTCCATTTCGGATAACAGCAACAAATATAACAAATATATTTCGTTTGTGTTTCATTCTTTATTCTCTTCTTTTGTAATCCTCCATTTCCTCACTACCAGTGTCTTTTTTTTTATTAATTTTTTGTACCAAACATAGTATCTAGCATGGAGCACCAGCATTAGTGAACACCATTCTATGTTTTACTTTTTGTTCGTTCAAGTTATCTGATAACAACTGCTGTAATCACGTGCACAATTTTTAGGAAATTTGCGGATTATTTTGTCGCGACACAGCATTTTAGTATTTTTATAATTGTTTCTCAGATTTCTTTACTAATAATAATAAACTGTATATTTTGTAACAAATCTTGGTCTTGATCTCAGCAAAAGCGCGACTAATTGGTTTTGCGAAAATGGTTCTTCGAAAATTTTTTAAAAATCGCAATTATTGCAGTATTCCTTCTAAGTAGCTCTGGAAAAAAGACTGTCAATTACTCAATTTGTTACTTTGTACAATTTTATTACAAATCTTAAGCTGCTAAGCAAAAGGTTATTTTTTTGGTGATAGAAGAGAACTAGCATGTCTGATTGTCCGCATATTGTACAATGTTACGAGTGCTTTATTGCTGATGTAAGCTTTGTCCTCGTACCCCTCATACCTCGCATAATAATTCCTACCAGAAAAAAAAAACCTTTTTTAAAGGCTTCAACTGCTTTTCCGAGCCTTTCGTTCTTTCAGATCACAGTTTGCTGTTAGCGTGGGGCACGTAAAATGGTAGCTTGAATGAAGTGGTAGTTTGAACCATTTGATATTATCCCACGGCACTTTAATTATACATTCCGTTATTTTTCTCAGAATTCGACGTCTTAGGTTTTCGATATTTGAGCGGGTATAATACCTGCGAATGTGAAATTTGATTCTGGATAAACTCTCCAAACGTGTGCAGAGTGGTCTCCTGGAGGATATCCGTTTCTGGTGGAAC